TTAGCATTTCCTCCAGGAGCTTTTATTATTATTATTATTATTATTATTATTATTATTATTATTATTATTATTATTATTATTATTATTATTATTATTGTTATTCCTCTCTTTTCCTCTTTTCTTGTTTAACCGTGTTTCTCGTGAAATTGTCATTCTCAATTTCTACCCATTGAAAGATGTGGTGCTTGGAAAAAGTATGGCGACACCATTTTCAGCAACTCTAGCAGGATCCAGCACAGCGTGCGCCCTGCAGATGACCGCTTTCAGATCGTGAGCAAGAATAAGCATGTGCAAGAACAGCTTAGAATGCCTTGAGAAAATTTGAAATATACTTTTCATGGTTTCACTCTCAGGCACAGTCACTTAGTACACACAGCTTGAGTTCTCATCACGAACAAGTGTGAATACAACAAAGCTCCAAGCAGGATGTGTTTTTCAAGGCACTGTGGCACAATATATATAGGTAGCCATGATCATTGCAAGCCACTGTAAGATAATCACGAGGAAGCACACCAGTCAAAGGGGCATGGGCAGCCATTATTTCGTGGTGGCTGTCTTTCTCCCATGAGGTCAACCCAATTAAAACCCTCTTTCCCTTTTCATGTTTCTCAGCTTGTGTCTGCTGGGGAAATAAGGAAAATGTGTCGTAACAAGTAACTTCCATTTCTTTTTTAACACAAAAGTGTTTTATGCCGTGGTCCACCACAGCTCTGCTGACGTATTTTTCTCATGGGTATGACTATTTATTTATTTATTTCACAGTACTGTAGGCCTTTGTACAGGCCCATACAAGAAGTGGTTAGAAAAAGTACACATGAACATGGACATATTAAAATAAAAACTGAAAGCAGAACACAGAATGACTCAGTAGATAATGCTTCAGTAATAGATTAAAAATAACGCAAAAAAATGAACAAATGGGGTCACACATCAAGAAGCACCATACATTGGACAAGCTTCTGCAAACATTTACCTCATAAAGTTGTTATATATACTAGCACTTGACAAAAAAAAACACAAAAAATTCGTCGTGTGGCGTGGAACCTACGAGCTCTCACTCCACGGCACATAGTACAAACCATTAGGCCACAGAACATGCATTGTCTAGCCTGTCAACAGTGAGCTATTTATATACACTATGTACCATTGGCAGTCCTCAAAGCTTAGCAACTTCAGTGCGTTTTAGTCATCAGTATTGAGAGGGCGCAAGGGGAGCGTGTTGGGTGCACTCTAAGGCCGTCACCTTGTACGTTGCAATACACCTCCAGAAGGTGTGGTCGCTCACACGCTTATCTTGGGATTTAGGTGCTTTGTAACGCTTGTGCTTCCACCGCAAGTTTGCTTTGAAGTTACAGTGGTTAAAGAGAGCACGTGGGTCACTTTGCTCGTTGCATAGGCTGCGTTTTCAAAACGAGCCTGGTGCTCACACACAAAGAAGTAAGAATTGTGACACTTGTTCGTGCTCGTCCTATGTATACTCATGCGCTCATTTCGTGTGCCTTAGTGGAACACTGGCTAGTGTGTTTGGCTGATGACCCAAAGGTCGCAGGTTCAATCCTGGCCACGGCGATCTGTGTGAATTGTGCGATGGCAGTGCACTATAAAGAACACCAGATAGTAGTCGAAATTGCTGGAGCCCCCCACAACAGTGTATCTCAAAACCATGCAGTGGTTTTGGCACGTAAAATCCCACATATACAGTCGAATCTCATTAATTCGAACACGCTCAATTTGAGATTTCGTTTAATTCTAACTCACGCTGAGGTCCCGTCAAAGCTACGTGTATTCCAATGGGCGAAAATGCTTTGTAATTGGAACGCGCAAGCACTTGCGACGGTCAATTCGAACATACTGTGCTCTGAAAAGGCTTTCAGCATCACGCCCAATCTCGCGATGGCACTTCCAACACCTCAACGCTGCGTGCGAAAGAAAACAAAGGAAAGAAAAGGCTGCATTGGAATGTTTGCTCTCTCTCAAATGCTGATCTGCAACGTGCCTGTGCCACGCTTCTCCCTTTTTCGTCCCTGCAACGCTAAGACATTCTCCTCTCAACGTTGTGCGTGAAGAGAGAGAGGGAAAAAAAAGAATGCTGTCGCGGAGTATTGGCTCTATCTCACACAACGGTGCCATGCAGATCCTTCTCCTTTCAATGACACGTGCGAAGAGAGCAAAAAGAAAAGAAAAAAGAAGCTGCTGTTGAGTGTTGGTTCTCTCTCACATGCCGATCTGCTTCTCTCCGCATGGAGACGCTCTCCTTTTTTCTTGTCATGTGCTGGCCAAAATGCAGCTGTGGCGCAAAGGGTAGTAGTGGAGCTGCAGTCGTTCTTGCCGTCTTTAGATAGTGTCAGTGCTGGACATTACTGCATGCAGCTTTTTTTGCTAGGAGAATGCTGAAGCCAAAGTAGCAATGCTTTGCAAGCTGCATGCAAAATTAATTGACTCTCTGCAAGGCAAACATGTGCAGACATGCATCACCGATTACTTCAATTAATGACGGTTGTCCTGTGATTTTGTGAATAAATCTAAGTCTCCTGAAACTTCCCCCTCATGTGTTAGCTCAATGCACAGGTCAGGCGCCACTGCATAGTGAGCCCTCCTTTCATTTAGCTTTCATTAATTTGAACATTTTTTAATTCGAAGAAATTTTTGGGCCCCTTTGAGTTCAAATTATTGAGATTCAACTGCATTATTATTATTATTATTATTATTATTATTATTATTATTATTATTATTATTATTATTATATAATGCTGTTATCATTACTGTGCATTTATTTCGTGCATCTTTCTGTTTGAACAGCGCACCTTAAGTGTCGAGCTGTGCCATTTGTTGGTCTGTGCTCGTCCTATGTATGCTCATTTCGTGTATGTTTTCTCTTTGAGGTGTGCACTTCGCGTTTCGAGCTGCTTGCCGTTCCTTGAGTAACATTGCAATTTGTTGCTGTAGCATCCATTTCTTCGTCCTTATGGTGAAACAATTAGCAATAAGCGCTCAACTGTCTCTGTGAAGATACATTTCACTTTTCTGCTATACCACTTCCTAGAAAAAGGCATCAGTCGCCTTTTTTAAGACCTGGTAAACTCAACCGTTAATTCACATTTATGTAAAGTGAATCATTCTTCAGGTGATTGATATATGAACCATGTGTGTATGTACTGTATCAAGTGGGGTTCTTCATAGTATGAATAGTGTTAAGAGCAGCAACGTTGCCGGGGTGGGATGAACGTCTAAAGTAAACCAAAGGTTATTACAGATTCTACAAGATCCACTAAAAATCTTGATGAACTACTTTCATAAGTGAGCATAGTGGCACATGCAATAACTTGAGCTGCATTCACCTTTGCCCACTGAGAAGTATAGGTTGACCAGCTGTGCTCTGGGATGTCCTCGCTATGTTGTTTTGTTTAGGTGGAAATTGCAGTTACCTAACGTTATTTGCTATAAGCGAGTGGCTCGAGCTACAACTGTGTTAGCGGCATACTGACAAGTTTTGGCTTCAGCCTGCTTGCAATTGCATTCCATAAGCTCAGTAGCAGTGAGCACCTTCTTTCAGCTGAAGCATAAATGGGACATGGAGATAAGAAAGAGCTGAAACATTGATGTTTTATTCATGGGTTAGTTTTTAGGGAAGAGGGTGGGTTTTGGCAAATGTTGCAGGGAACTGTATGTAGGGTGGCTTTATCAGTGGCAGTTCATGTGAGCCGCTGGGATGCTTCTTTTGCATTACTTGAGCAAAGGTACTGCTTGTGTTGCTTTTCTTGTGCTTTTAAAGTTCTCTTTCACTGAACTGTTCTATATGGTGCTACTATGCATTTAAAGGTCTTGAGGAACTTCGAATTGTGGCACAATTTCCAGTTATTTATTGCACTCATGAACTACTGCTTTGCTTCTTGGTTCCTTGATGATGCCATTACATCATTAAACATGTTTATTGTGGGAGGCCAAATACATTGAATGATGCACACAAGGAGTGCTTTCAATTCGGCAATAGCGCTTCACTTTAAAAAGGGACTGCATGTAAACGAGAAGAGCAATTGATTGGGCTGCTAAGAGAAAGTTCTGTGTTCCCGCCCATGTTTGTGTCGACGATTAAACAAAATTGATGTCGGGCAATTTGAGGCTGAGTAAAAATGAAATAGGTTTATATTACAGCACTGATGAATTTTATTGACTATCCCAGTGTCTGTTGCCAGTAGAAAAACAAAAGGTCTTGGCAAGTTTATTTTGGTTAAGTTCACTTGTGGTCACTTGTTGTGTATAGATCTTTCTTGGTGTTCACTACCGATGCTTACAGCTGTCACATTCTTGTGCTTATTCTTCAGTATTTTAGATAATAAGTTAAATTGTTAGCTGTAGCACAGGGGGCCTTTATTTGTATCAGATCAGTAAATGAAACAATGGGGATGCTTTCTGTACCCCCACCGGTTGGGGAATTTGACTGCTTGAGCTTGGCATGGTAACCTTGGTTATGTTGAGTGCTGGGAAAGGAGTTGATTTCTTTTCTTAAGAAAGAAAGAACAGAGAATTGTGAGAAGTCAAGGTAGCCAAAGTAGTACAGCTGTAATTATGGTTGTGGATAGAGTACAGTGATTGCGGGGCCATCGGAGTATAATAGGCATGGGCATACACTTCACAAATGTTATGCAGTTGGGGAGCCATGGAAAAAAAGGAAACTGCTTCTTCAATCAAACAAATTTATTTGCTGCCTGACATGCCTCTGAACACATATTCTTTGCATTTTTATTGTATTGAATCCTCTGGTGGTCTTGATCAAGTTCTATAGCTTGAGGTTTAACTACATTTAACTACTCCTCACTTTTTTGCTGTCTGTATGCTATACTAGTTGTAGCCTTTATTGCCAGTAGGAATATGAACATGAAGTGCTAGATTATTTGAAGGGGTATCAAAATGGGCTCTATGCATAGGTTTTCGCACTATTCATTATTGAGAGTGCAAGTGTTAGTGTAATGAAGATGTTGCGATTCTTTTTGCTTTGCTAGAGCAATGACAAGCTAGAGCTGACTGAACAGCTTCAGAAGGAACAGCATGTAACCAAAGAGCTTGGAGAGCGTTTAGGGCAGCAAGAGGAGGAGCTACGTGAGCTAAGGGACCAGGTGAGTGGAGCATTGAAAAGTGGTTTATGTTGTTTGGTTCTTCTTTCACGCTGAACCATTCAAAAGATTTTCAGAGAGAAGGTACAAAAATAGATATGTGCTAGCTTCTGTTTTGAAATTCTCGGCATTAAGTACAGCTATTTAGGATGATGAGTTTGTCCTATACTGTGGAGGGTTTCACTGATTACACTAATTATTCGCTGCAGTGGTATAGCAGTCTTGGTGCTCAGACATGAGATGGTCAAAATATCCAGAAGCCTCCACTACAGTGCGTCTCATAATCATGTGGTGGTTTTGTCAGATAATACCCAAGATATATTATTTGGGTTATATTATGAACAAAAGTTTTTGTGCATGTTCATGTTCATCAGTGTGGTAGTGTAGGAATATTCATGAAAAGTGTGCTTGTTAGCTAGAAAACTTGCCTTTAAAGGACTAACAAAAACATGTATTGATATTTTTTCAAGTCAGCTGACTGTATTAGTGTTTGGCCATGAGCGTTTTTATGGTCGATAAACTTTTATGTTATGAAGTTTCCTTGGCCAGAATCATTAAGGAGCTAGTCGGCCAGAATCGTTAAGGAGCTAGTCACTGCACTTTAATTACATTCTGCAGTGCCAGTGCAATTTTCCTAGAGGATTTCTCGGAGGTTAGGATTTTATTGCTTATTTTAAATATATCTATTGAAGATAGCATGCCATTCATGTGAGGCATTTTTAGAGAGCACATAAACTAGAGCTAGTTTTCTGCTGTCCATCTCGATTGTTGTTTTTTTTTACTGCCCAAGTCAGTGAGAAATCCGAACACCTGGTGGGAATATTGAACACCCTTATTCAACTAAGCATCTAAACCACGTCTGCTTGTTTCCTACAGTGTGTATTTAGATGGTACCACCACGTATATTGACACCAAATAATTTTCCAGTCAACAACTGATGTTTCAGACATGAATAACAATTGGAATGTTTTAGCTCAACCATGTTTTTCAGAAAAGGACGTATTAAATTTCTGGCACTTAAACCCTTTTTTGTTGAATTTTTCCACTTTGTGTAGTGGTTGCAAGTGTGCAATATTGTTATTTGAAGTGATGACCACTGTCATGTTGATTATCTTGCTGCCTTGAACCTGGGCTTTTTTTCACTGATGCACTTACAGCAGAAGCTGCTCTGAAAAGACAGCTTTACCACAATACAGTAATGTGACCTAGTCAATATTCGACGACAACTTTTCTTGACAGCATTGTGGAAGCTGCAGAACCAAAGCGCATGCCTGCAAACGCGTGAAAAAAATAGTAGTACTTACGTTTAACTGATAATTTTCTTACTTGCCTTGCTGAAGTAAAAAATACTGCTTTATTTATTATGTGACTGAAAATGTTGTGAGGAGTTGTTGGGAAAACACCATCATTATTCACTTTGCAAGAATACTTTCCTTTACTTGTGTATTTCTTAGACAGCATCGCCTTTTCAGCCCATCTATTTTCCAAGGAAACATGGCATCCATGACGTACGTCAGTGTGCGACCGCAAACGCACTGTTTAGTTCTTCAAGAAAAATATACTCATAATAGGACACTAAAATGTACTGTGAGCAATCGAAATATTTTTTCCATTCATTATTTCTATATGTTTTTCTAAGTGTGTTAATGTGAGTGAGCAAAACCGATAGTAACCGCAAGTTGCCGTACTACTTGCAGAGCACATGAATGTGTGGAAACCCCGCCTCCGTAGCCTTCGCTCCAGTGTCACGATAAGTTGTCGCAGAGTATAGAATTCATAACGTATGGCATTCATAACTCAGTGCTTGTTACAAGCACTGAGTTATTCAGTAAATGTAATGACAAGCTGTCAGAGCTATTTCAGACATAGCTGCAGTAATTTGAGCCTTGAGAGCACTCAAGAGGCATGATTCAGTTTTTCTTTGTGATTGCAATTTATATGGACACTTTCAGCTGGATTTTGCTGCCGGCGCGCGCCCGTGCACACGCACACACACACACGCACACACACACGCACACACACACATGCACGCGTGCACACGCACACAAACACACACACACACACAGAGAGAGAAAGAGATAAATGCAAGACAGGAAAACAATCCAGAAATAGACTCCAGTGCGTGGAATCGAACTTGGAACCTCTGCATCGTGAGTGCGAGGCATTCACCACTGAGCCACCGAGGAGCACGTAGTTCATCGAGCAAACAGCAAGCTATTTATATCTACCACTTACCGCTAGTGATGTGCATCTCGGGGGGGGAGGGGGGGAACTATCGTGTTTTCAGCATTACCAGCAAGATGGTGCAATGAGTGCGCGGCGGCGAGCGCCCTCATCTCCTACACGTAGTTTGTATTGTGGAGAGGAGAGTGGGTGGTCATAAAGCCCTTGAACCCACATCCACGCGCTCTTATCTCGCGGTTGGGAGCATCTTATGTCTTAACTGTCCTTAAGCTTTCAAGGGAACGATTCTGTTGCAGTTACCGGGTGCACAAAGGTCACTGCAATCCTTGCACAGTGTTGGTTCGCAAAAATAGTGCGCTTTTCAGACACAGCGATGGAACAACTAAGACGCTTATTCGCATTAATCTGTATCTGTAAGTACGTTTCGTGCGTTATTTGTGTGTGAGAAACGCGGGGCACGTTTCGATCTGCTTGCAATTTTGCGCGTGACCTTCTAATTTGTTACTATCGCACTCATTGCTTTGCCTTTGCATCAAATCTGTGACTTTTTGGACTAGCTGATTTACTCGAAGGTTTTTGCAGTATTTACCAGAAGGTTTTGCATTCCTTAAGGATTTTTAGAAAATGGATGTTGATTGAATGAGCTAATATGATACTGCTTTATTACTCCTAGTTACCTGTGCATTTATAAACTAAGAAAGCATGCTTCCTCAAACATTTCATGATAGAATGTTTGATGGTGCTGTAACTCATCAGACATAGAGACATGTTGCAATAATAAAATGTGATTATAAATACACAAATGAAGCAAGGTTCTTCTTGTAGTAAAGTGGATATGAGCACCAATCTTGGCGGCTTTTTCCTGCTTCTTGATTCGAGAAATTATGACATAATTGTTTATCAAATATAACAAATGCAATATAATTAACACCAGTGTCTTCGATAGGCAAAACTTTATACAATGGACTACATCTTTACAGTGATTTAAGGGCTGAAATTTGCTTTGTGTGTCAGCTCCCAACATGTACTTCGTTGTATGGAATGATTATCTGAAAAGTTGTCAGTTTAAAAGCATCTCTATAATTTGTTCTGATGCAATTTCGAGTGAGCTGGTATCGATATCAAGGGTTTTGAAAGTTTAATGTCACAAATTTCGGGTTTTACTTAGACCTTAACCCTTTCAGATCCCACCTATGAAGAAGTGTCTGTAAATATGTCAAATCACCACAGTGTTACTTCAAAGCACTCAATATTTTGTTGCAACAATAATAATGACATAATTATTGAATTGTGTAGTATATATAGTAACTCATTTTAATTAAGTCATGATTAAGTATATGTTCATCCTGAAGTCAGTGATGCTCAGTTTGGGCATAAACAAAATCAAATCTCAGGCTAGGAGGCTAGGAATATAGTGCAAATTCATTTTTGGTTATGTCAATCTTGAGCAAAGAAAAATTCTGCTTTTCACATTGCTTGCTAGAAGCCGCACCTTGCATGACTCGTCGAACGTGGTAGTGTTTTCAGAAAAGTGGCCATATGCATCAGTTCACTGCAAAATTAAGTTAAACGGAGACAACTTCATTACGCAGGAGATTTAATTCATCCAAAGTATAATATATCTCGCTCTTTCTGAGCTCTGTTTGGTTCAATTAACAAAAACAAGTAATGTACGCAATTGTGTACATAGCTTCTCAAAAGGTTAATCATGTTTATGCATACTTTTTTTTGTGTTTTTCATGCAGACTTACAGCTATCAGAGGTTAGTATGTGGAACTGGCTAGTTTAGTATTAGGGGAATTCTTAGTGCATTGCACTGCTAAACTTGGGGTCACAGGTTCAATCCCAGCCATGGTAATCAGATATTAGTAGGTGTGAAATACAAAAGTACATTTGTTTCATAATTAAAGTACTCATTAAAAAAATCAGGTAGTCAAAATTTTCATCTATAGTTTAGTGGTATAGCTGACCTCATAATCAGAATATAGACAAAATTAATTTAAACTGCTGTCCTAGGCATATTTTATAGTCAAAGGGGTCTTTTCAGTTAACATCATGAAGATACTGCAGTCACTGAGCAAGCCATGGGGAATAGATGTGCTTTGATGTTTCAGCACCAGCAGAGGTTCCTTGTTTCCTTGATCCCATTCTGTGCTGTATGGTGTAAAGTATGGTGTAAAGGGTTGTATGAAGTTCTTTGGGTCAGGTGACATGGTAATCAAGAACTTCATATGAATGACCAAATTAGTGTGAATAGATACTGTTATGACCGTCATCAGTAGGCGCCATGCTGTCCCTGAGAAGCGTAACCGGGCAGCGTTCCCACGCCTGGAACCCAGTTTTCTCGGAACCAGCGTCCAGAGATGACGGGAGAGCGGCGCTCTTTTAATCCTCAAACAAATAGCCGACTGGCCGGCTGCCTATGCCCGCCAGGTATTGTCCCTACTAGCCGGAGGATGAGACGTCGTGTCGCCACGACGCCGTAAGCCGTTCCAGAGAGGACAACAAAGACAGCGTCTTCCTTGGAAGAAACCGCGGCCGCTGCCACAAATTGCCCTGCTAATTGAGCGGACAGATTGGCGGACCGTTTGATGTCTGCTGTCCGGAGCTTGGGACCCCTCGACCAGCGACACACACAACGAGGAAGAGCCCCTCTGGCGCCACCTTGCAGTGCAGTGATCACGACTCAATATTGGATGTTCACGTGCGTCGTGCATGCTTGTACCCCTCGCCTGTTGTGTGTGTGTGATTGGTGTTCCACTCAAGAAGGAGGAGCCCGACAGGGCTTATAACGACGCCGCAGAGTGCGGGACGGGGCTCTGAACTGTGTAATGGTTCAACCACCAGGCTTGTGGTTTGTGAAAACTCTCAACCTTTCTATGCTGTAAATATTTGTAAATAGTGCCATAAACCTGTTTGTTTTTCGTATCCCCATCTTGTCAGCATTCGTTTTCTCCACCCGAAGTTACACCACGCTACCACAAGAGACCGGGTAGACCCCCCGGTCCGCAACAACTGATGATCAGCGGTGGGATCTGCAACAATACACAGAGACACTTTGGGAACACATAAAGGTCCTTGATTACACTTCACAGTCGAATGTATAGCCGAGAATTTCACAAAAGTTCATCTGGTCTGGTAACATGATGATGAACTAGGGTTCTTGGGTGGGCCGGTTAGTTCATGATTGTTGTGGCAGAACAGTCTAAAACACGGGACATTAAACACGCAGGACACAGCGCTGACTATCACCTGTTTTTTTTTTAAAGTCCGAGCATACGTAGGCAGCCAAACAATAAAAATTAAAAAAAAGGTAGGAGGGGGCAGCATAAACACAATCAAGTGACTTAGCTGGCCAGCATAACTATCAATTGGAATAAAGACAAAAAGTTTTCATGATGCAGTGAAAAGCAGATTTCATGAAATGGCAGTCAAGAGCGAAACAACGTCAAAACAGGACTAAGACTTGGTGGTAAGTGGAAAACTAATTAAAATAGCAAGAACTGGACACTCAGAAATTAAGAAAACCAACAACCAAAGTCTTACAAAAAAGGTTTGTAAGCAGTTGAAAACAATGCTAAAAATTCAAACAAAAAAAAAACATTGTTTGACAATGTAGAAGTTCTCAAGAGGTATTAGGATTGATGTGCACGCAAAATTTGTGAAGTACACGTAGTTCACAGAAAAAGGGCAGGTGGTGTTAGCACACCATTTTTAGTATTCTTTCACAAATAAATAATGTACAGTATGGCCCATTCTTGGAGGGAACACTGCAATGTGTGGCTGGCGGCCTACGTGGGGCGAACTAGCGGCGAGATTTGCAAACACAGCGCATGCGGATAGACGCGAAAAAGTGGGGCTTGCCGCGTTTCGTCTGCTACTTTCCGCTCCGGCGCTTGCAGTGCGCTGGATACCGCGTTCGCTTTCCCGCGATGTGATTCATGTCCCCACCACTCTCGCTGCTCCTCCCCAGGTAATCAGCCCGCAGAAAAAAAAGTGCCATTCGTTTGTTGTTGTGCTTTCTCGGCAGCTTTGTTGCGATTCCATTCATGGCCACAGCATCCAACTTTAGAATTCATGTGAAATGCAAAAAAGGCCATGTGCCTATAGTACTTCGAAAAACGTTAAAAAAAAAACACGTGTTTGAAAATACTTCTATGTATCCCACTACGGCGAGACACAAAATTATATTTTTATTGTGGATTGGAGTATCCAGCAAATGTTAGTTATAACTCGCATTACATTTCGTTTTCTTCGTTGAAGTGAAAACGCTAGAAGCTCCTTATTTGAAATATGCGATAGCATTCACTTTTACGAGAATCATTATGTTTCACCAATACTCTCGCTGAAAAACGGTGTACGTAGAACACGATGGAGTAAACAAAGAAATTTTATTTCTAAAGCCTTTGTGACAGACAGGTCGAGTGAGGTCTGATCTGTAGCGTCAAAACATTCAGATCTGTAGCCTGGAAACACAAAATAAAATGCAGATCTGTGTAAGCAAAATAGGACTACGCATTACAGAATTAGGCACTGAAAAATGTTTCATAATGATCACGATTATGCTGGTAATAAGAAAGTGGCCTTTTCGCGATGGAAGTGACAGCACGCTGGCTCTATTCTTTGGTGTACAGCTCGACTATTCGAAGCCTTTCGTCCTAAGCTACTCTAGCTATGCCGCTTCTAAGAACTAGCTCTGCTGAAAATGTGATCAGCGAGTAAATACGCCCCCAGCTGTAAAATTCTGTGAAAATGATAACGCAGCCCATCACTCCCGTAGCCTGGTGTTTGTGCTTTCCAAACGTAAGCTTTAGCAAATTGTAAGCTTTCCAAACGCTGTTCGAACCAGCCAGCCGCCTTTGATAACAAACAAACATGGAAATCAATCGTCGATGAAGCGAGCACAGCAATCTTGTCGCTGGCGTGCGCCAAACGTAGGGCGGGGAAGTAGCAGACGATGCGGGCAAGTACCGCCCTTGCGATTCAACGCGCATGCTCTGCATTTCCAAATCTCACCATCAGTTGGCCCCCCGCGGACCGCCAGCCACGCACTCGCGTGTTCCCTTTAACAGTGGATCGTACTGTACCTTGAGCCCCATTTGAGATCATGCAGCTTGTGTTATGCTTTCATTTTTGTTTTATTGTTCTTGGTTGTTTTTTAGTTTCTAGCCTTCTTGTTACTTTCTTACCAACTTTTTTTGTTTCACATTGGTCTAACATGAAAGTTTTTTCATAACATGGCCTCATTTTATACCTGACACTTAGTGGGCACTGAATGGGACAGTGGTTTTTTGTGGTGCGTGAGCTTGTTGAGGCATAATGCCTGCGTGCACTTATTGGACTGCATATAACTTGAGACGTGTTATTTGCATGTTTCACTTCAAACAATCTAAATTTACAAACATGATTGGGTGATGAGTTTTTTTTTTATACTCTCAGCTCGCCTCCAAGGAGGGTCAAGTGCAGGGCCTTGAGCAGTTGTCAAGCCGAGAGCACTACCAGCAAAGTCAGCTGGCTGACCGTGTGCGCCACTACCAGGCCCAGTGCCAACTCACTGAAATACTGCAGCAAGAGCTTGCCCAGGCCCAGGTATAATCTTAAACAAGTGTCGCTAAATTGTGGACAGTTTTCCTTTCACTGCTATAGCTCCACAGCTTACTTCAAAGATTATATGACCAGGATTTGGTGTGGCAACCCTAACAGCATAGTCTGTCATTAGCCAGTGGTGAAGTCTCTTTTTTTTAAAGATTCCTTTCAGATAAATTGTCTTGTTCATTTCTGTTTTTTCTAAAATGAAACAAGTTACAACTTTCCATAGCATCACTTGATTTAAGTTACTGAGCATCTTCAAAATTCTCCCCCCCCCCCCATGATTTGCCTCCTCAGCACTTTGAGTAATAGTTCTGCTGTTTTTTTCTGTTCGCGAACTGTTCCGTTGTGAAAAAAAAATTGTTGGGCAGCTCAATGTAGCGATGCTATGCTCTGGCAATGTGCTGTATGAGCATTTTCACAGTCAGTGTGTGATACTTTTGCACCTTGTATTTCTTCATGCCAAACACAATGTGATACATTCATCAAAATTGTGTGTCACTGATTTTTGGGTCTTTCCCATTTAGTACATGCTTCACTGCGCTTTGCACCAGATGCAATTTCGAACCTGTTTAATGTTTTTCTCATTAATGACAGACCAAGGCTGCCCACTCTTTTAACACGAAAGTGTTTTACCGAGGTCCCCCATGGCTCTGCTGACGTACTTTCGTCACGGATATGACATTGTAAAATATATACTAACAGATTCCAAAGAAAAAGAAAACGAAAGATTCTGTCACGCAGCGTCGAACTGACAACCTCTCAATTCGCAGCACACAACGCTATTCACTATGCCATCAAGCAATCGCTTTCGAGGACGCTAACGGCAAGCCATTTATACAGTTAAACCTACTTATAACGAATTTACCTCCATATAACGAATTCCTCGACATAACAAGTGCACTTGTTAGGTGCTCACAAAAAAAAAGATGGATACTTTTCTAACAGACTTTGTCCATCTGATTTTTGCCTATGCTTAAGTTTGCCTTCGCAGCTTTTAGGATTCTGCCGCTTTTTACAGCCTGTTAAATTCTATCCATGTTATACTTTCTGATGTCCTCTATTGATTAACTTTGAACGCTCCACTAGCTCTATTTTATCGGTTGCATTTCAGGCTTTCATGATTTGTCGTCTCTTAATGAGATTTTTCGTCTCCTGAGATAGTTTGCCAGTGTGTTGTCTAGTGACTGTACGTCCGACTTCCACTGCACACTCTTTGATGATACCAGTAAGATTATCATTCATTGTGTCAATGCTAATGTTAGTTACCTCGTTTGGAGCCTTGAATCTATTCTAAAGCGAAACTCTGAATTCCTGTTCTTTCCCTCTCACTGCTAGCTCATTAATTGGCTTCTTGCATATCAGTTTATGCCTTTGCTTTTTAAATCTAGGCGAATATGAGCTCTTACCATTCAATGGTCACTGCATCGAATCTTGCCAACTACTTCTACATCCTGTACACTGCCTGGGTATGCACACAGAATGAAGCCTATTTCATATTTAGTTTCCCCATTAACTTTGCTTGACTTTGCTTGACTTTGCTGCATCCACTTACAGTTAGGCTGTTTTCTGAAGAAGGTATTCAAGATCTGTAAATTATTATATTCTGCGAACTCTACTAATAACTCCCCTCAAGAATTTCTAGAGCCGATGCTATATTCCCCCACAGCATGGTTTCCAGCCTGTTTATTGCCTACTTTTGCGTTAAAGTCGCCCATCAGAAACGTATGCTGTGTCTTTACTTTATCAAGGGCTGACTCTACGTCTTCGTAGAATCATTCAACCAAATGATTATCATAGCTCGATGTAGGTGCGTAGGCCTGTAATCTTCATCTTGTACCTCTTGTTAAACTTAGTAATGGTACTTGCCGCCCTTTCACTGATGTTATAGTATTCCTCTATGTTGCCAACGATATTCTTGTGCATAAGGGACCCCACACCTACTTCTTTTCTGTCAACTAATTCACGGTAGCATAGGACGTGTCCGTTTTTCAGCACTGTATAAGCCTCACTTGTCCTGCTAACTTCGCTGAGCCCTATTAGATTCCTTTTAAGACCCTATAATTCCTCGAATAGCACAGCTAAACTAGCCTCACTAGATAGCAATCTAGCGTTGAACGTAGCCAAGTTCAGATTCCAATGGCGGCCTGTCTGGAGGTAGAGATTCTTAGCACCCTCCACTGTGTCGCAGGTCTCACCGCCGCTTTGGGCAGTTGCTTCACAGCCACTAAAAACTGAGGGCCAAGGGTTAATTGATACTTTAATGAGGGAGGTTATGACTTGAACACATGGTGCAGTAAAAAAAAAAAATCAAGACGTGCTCAAGCATGCATTTTTGTCAAGGAAGGATTTGATTCTGTTAATTGGCATTATAAAATTTCCTCCTCACTGTGTGTACACGTACTCTGTGCACGTACTGTGTGTCCTCCTCTGTGTGTGTACTGGCATCTGTTCAGACTAGAAAAAGAGTGAAGTGCTTGTTTACCAAAGCTTTCTGCAATGGAGAAGAATGCCCAGTAACCTGAGAGTGTGACAGCATCAACACAGAACAGCATACTTTCTCTAAATCATTAAACTTGGATGATGGCCGTGTGTTGACATATTGGCATTCAACACTGATAGATGTATGCAACCCCTTACCAATGCCTCGATGTTTTTTGTATTGTTTTTTGTGGGCTCTCTTGTCTCTAGACTTCATTTTTAAATTTCAAAGGACATTTTGAGCACTGAAGCTTGGAAAGGTTAAGGCACTTCCCAGAGGGCATGCCAGGAAAACCAATCTTTTGCATGTTAAAATAAAATGTCTTTTGCTGATATCTTGCCAGTAAAATGCCTTTATAGAATTTTTTAGTTGTTTCAAGACATGCAGAATAACATATTGAAATAAAAAAACCTGTATCTTTGTATCATTTCTGACCAAAAAAAACTATGTATGAAAAGGGTTTAAGCATGCATATTTTTTAACTAGAGGTGTGTGAAAATATTCAAAACATTTAATATTCGATTCTGGTACAGTAAAACTCCTTTGTAAGAGACATGCGCTGGTAGCAATTCTTTTCTTTGATGTAAGGTGGCTCTTATAAGCAGGGTACTACATACTATGCATTCCCTTAGCATGTATTTCAATATAAGCACACTGGTATCTCTTATACCCAACTGTCAATTACATTAGTGCCTCTTATAAAGGGGTTCAACTGTAGTTGGTTTATGATTTGATTTTAAAGGCACCTTTGCTATTTGAAGTACTATTCAAATGCCATAAAACTGAATAATTATTGAAATTTGGAAAAGAAATTACATCTAAATTTAGTTAAGTTTTATGCACAGATAGACAAATTAGTTTCTGCTGGCTTATTCCCCTCATCGCACTACTATTGCAAATGTTGTGTCAGTATTTATGTGTACCTGCCAGAAGCATGGCATTGTCCATGAGACTGGGCTTATTGAAATTTAGTGCTCAAATTATACTGAAAAAGCTACCAAAATAAATGTGGAGCATTACAGAATTATGAAGTAATGCCTAAAAATAAGGAAGCCCAGCATTATTGTAGGTTATCATAAAATGGAACATCTGCAACCAGCATGGTGCTGTCATAGCTGTTCCCAAGCATGCCTGGACGAGTAGATTATCACATCAGCACTAATGTGTATATAGTGAGTGGCTCTTTCTGTGGTTTAGACATTTAAGGGTAACACGCGCACCGGTGTCGCTGCTTCGCAAACATACGAAGCAGCTATGCATTCTTCTCAACAACAATGAATAAATGCATGTACGATATCCTCAAGCAATAGTGTTCTGCAATGCATAAATATTCTGTGTATTATTTGCAATACAACAAACTTGATTTTTCATGTCTGGTTGCCAATATATATATATATATATGTGTGTGTGTGGTGGCACAACTGACTCTCCCGCTGTTTAATTCACATATATACCCAATAAAGTGGACGGGGTATATCATGGTAGCTCCATTGGTAGAGCATCTAACGCATTATTCGAAGATCGCAGGTTCGTTTCCTGCCTGCGGCAAGTTATCTTTTCATCCAATTTTCTTTCTTCACATTTATATTACAATTAGGTATAATAACTTCTCCTATACTTTCCTTGCATTATTGTCTATTACGTCTCATTAATATTGTGTCTAACAAGAAAAAAACTAGCCCTTAAGTATACACTTCCTTTCTTCATATATATATATATATATATATATATATATATATATGTGACGCATTAACAAGGTGATTCTAGGAGAAGCCGACGAAGAGGAAGTGCGCGTGCATTAGAATAAACGCATCACATCTGGACCACCACATGTCTCCATTTTGTAGCGTCACACAAGTCGACAGGATCGACCTCAACAACGTGCCATGGCTAGGCCAAAGCCTCCGCTCAACATACACAAGTTCAAGGGAACACCAGAAGAAGACGTCCCCATCGACAAGTGGCTTCTTCTTTTCGACATAAAGGCAGCCGAGGCGTCATGAACTCACCGCGATCGGGTCAGTCACTTCAGCGAATACATTGAAAAGGAAGCATTCAAGTGGTACCTGACAGAGATTTTCGGCAACGGCGAGACAACATGGGACGATATCAAGTGCTACATGCAAGCCCGCTTTGCTACGACTGACGGAGATGCCTTCCGTCTCTTCATTCACTACCGACTGAAAGGAGGGCAGACCATCAAGGACTACTACAACGAGAAAAAGCGACTGGGTTCCTTGGCTGACCTGAAAGAGTGCCACATCATTTCTGGACAGACTGATGGTGTTCCTCCTGATGTGGAACTGGCGTTCGCCGGACTGTCTTTCAACTCGTCATTAGAGTGGCTCACCGCTGCTCAATGGGTCGAGACATCTTTAAAAAGGGAGAGAGGAGTTTCCTTTACTCGTTACGCTAGTATCGCATCAAGAGCTCCACGTCTCTTCAGCAGACCGCAGCAACCGACAATAACTCCTCAACCGCGTGCCGCGCAAAACGAATGTAGATACCGCTCAGCTGC